AAAATAGCGTGTCAAAAAAATCAAATTAAAGGATGTCGTCAACAAGAACGTAATAAGAACACATACGAGGGTGTTAAACACATTCAGTCACGCGTTAATGTTGGTTGGAAATGGTTACTTTCTGGTTTAGTATAAAATGAAAAGTCAAAAGTTTTGATAGATTTAATTAGGCTTGAAAAATGTGACATTTTAAATGTGCACCTTCAAAGCACGACTCAGTATGAATCGGGTTAAGGAGTATGTACACCTTTTTCAGCTTGGTAAGATAAATATATGTATTTTATAATATTTTGTTTACATTTGACGTGATATAAAAATTACATATTTTACAAATATAAATAAGGCTTAAAAAAGATCACAATAATCTTATCGTCAGAATTCTTTTACAAAAGAGAGTACGTAAAATAATATAAAAACGTCTTTCTACAAAAAGAGTACGTGAAAATAACATAAAAACAACAAATCGTACTCAAATAAATGAATATATATTGTACTGAAGTATAAAATGAAATTTGAACATACATTACAATAAAACATTACTTAATCACAAAATAAACTTAAAAAATAAAAATATTATAAATTATTTTCAATAGAGAGATCGAAATCTTTTAATTTATTTTTAAAAACAGAATAAGTTAAGTAGAAATACTGCTTTAATAATTTTCTAAATACTGCTTTAATAATTTTGTATATAAAAATAATTACATATAATATATGGGTGACACCCTATTTGCCGCCCCGGGTGACACCATAACTAGGAACGCCACTGCTTATGTTTAATGTTAACTTGTTACTTTTAAACAATTTAAATATGTTTTGAAGTACTTTGTTCATCACGGAAAATTATTATTATTATTCCTTTCTTTCAATAATTAAATAATGAAGACATTTTTTTTTTTTTAAAAAAGTAGATTTTTGTAAATGGTTTATAGAACCGCATTTTATGTGAAAAAATAAAATCAATAACTCAAGTAAAAGTAAGCAAGTAAAAGTTTGTTTGCTTGTTTGTGTGTGTGTGTGTGTGTGTGTGTGTGTGTGTGTGTGTGTGTTGTGTGTGTGTGTGTGCGTGTGTATGTGCACTATCTTAAACAATAGCTTTCAGTTATTAATTTAAAACCCTTTAAAAAAAGAGATCGAAAATTAACATAACTTCGGCAATACGCAAACTCAGATTGTTTTATGCTCACTTCCGAGTTTTGATTCCAGAGGTCTCTGAATTTTCAGAACTTGGCTGTTAAGTGTTTTAAAAAATTAACTATTATTAGCAAATTTTTTAATAATAATATTTTATTACTAATATTTAATATCTTATCATTAATACTAATGATAAAATAATCGTTATTAAACATTCTGAATTTTTTATTTTTACCGCAATTTAAAATAATCGCTATTAACGCAAAACATTCTGAATTTTTGTTTTTACCTTAGACCATATAAACTGATAGACACGGCGCTAGTTAAATAAAACTCATCTCAAAGTTAGGCCAAAATAAATTTTGTGCGGTGACGTCACTTTGTGGCAAAAAACATTTTTTTAAAAAGAGTTCGCTCTTACATTTATCTCATTTTTTAAATCAATTTTAATTATGGTGCACTCTTGCAGTGCATACAACTGCACAGAAAGATATAAAAATGGTTCAGACATATCAATTCATGGGTAAGAATTTGTAATAAATAAAAAATAATTTAATATCATATAATTAATAATTTTGAATCATAGCCTATGAAAGTATGGAAATAACTTTAATAAGATGTCATTCCTATGACATAGGATTCTAAGATTCGTGGTAGATAATAAAATATCATAATATCATTATGTGTCATTATTATTGGTAAAAACATTGTGTTGTCAACACAATGTATTTACCAATGATAATGACACATAAATACATTGTGTTGTCAACACAATGTATTTACCAATAATAATGACACATAATGATATTATGATATTTTATTATCTACCACGAATCTTAGAATCCTATTTCATAGGAATGACATCTTATTAAAGTTATTTCCATACTTTCATACATACATACAACACTGTTGTGTAGCACATGCTACACAACAATGTTAATGCTAAGCATGCTTTGAGTTTTAAATACGTTTTGATGAATGGTAACATTTACCATTCACCTATTATATTTACACTATATTATATTTACACCATACATATTACATTCAACCTATTATGTTTACACCATACATATTACACCACAGACTGTTAGTAATAGTCTATATGTATTCAAAACCCTAAGCATAAGTTATAGTTTGAAAATTACTAAAATCTAGCATACTGTTTATAAAATCTTGTTTTTGAATTTTTAATTGCTGATTTTGGAGTTTAAACGATTATTAACATGTTAACAATTGCTATAACGTTGTTAATAAACAGTAATATCAGTTATTATTTGTTTAAAAATTTTAATTATGTATAAACACTAATTATAATTTGTTTTGTTTTTATTTATGAAATATTATTATATTGTAGATTTCCAGAAGATTTATTAATTCGGAATAAATGGATTGTTGCAATTTGTTCTAAGCATTTTATACAAGAATCGTACATTGTTTGTGGTTGGAGTTCAAAAAAGCAACTTAAAAAAGATGCTATACTTGGAATTAAATGATTTGTGGAAATTACCAATCAGCTACTTTTTAATTAATGAAATCTCAGCAATTCAAAAGAGTTACTTGGTAAAAATGTGTTTAAAAATATTAAGCGAAGTTGAAATTACTATAACAAGTTTAACTTTTGATGGTGTTTCGTCTAATATTAGTATGGCTAATCATCTTGGAGTTGAATTTTCTGTTAACTCTACTTGCACATGCTTTTCACATCCAGTTACAAAAAAGCCAGTTTACATTATAATGGATCCTACACACATGTTAAAACTGATAAGAAATAATTTTGGTTTGCACAAAGTAATGTTTGATTCTAATATTTAACCAATAAAATGGGATTATATTGAAAAGTTAGTAGCTATTCAAGAAAAGCAAGGGCTGCATTTAGCAACAAAACTTACAAAAAGACATAAATTGGTTTCAAGAAAAAATGAAGGTCAAGTTGGCTGAACAAACATTTAGTCAAAAAGTTGCAAAAGCAATAGAATATTTAAGAGAAAGTCAGTACTCTAAGGCTTTTGAAGACAACAAAGCAACAGAAAAATTAATCTATAATATTAGTAACATATTTGACATTTTAAATAGCAGGAATTTATTAGCTAAAAATTTTAAAGCTAGTTTACAACAACAAAATAAAAAAGCTATTTTCAAAAAAATAAAAAAGTCAATAGAATATTTAGTCTTAAATGTGCTAACAATGGAGGGCCTATACATTAAAGTCAGAGAAAAACAGGCTTTATTGGCCTGAAGTCTTTTATGGGAATATGGAATGACTATGTTCAAAATAGCAATAGTAGTTTAAGGTATCTTTCTGCTTACAAATGATCTCACAGCAAAACAATTTCAAGCTGCCTACAAAAAATTATTAATGCACACAAGTGTTTCAGGTTCTTCTCAAGCCAATTGCATTGAGCAAGCACCATCGATAATTTTAGCAATGAGTACATTAAAAAATGTTAAAATGAAAACAATTGATCATCAGCTCATTGAAGATTTTGAAATGGAAAAAACTAATTCTGATGACCATGCATATGCTCTAAATGACATAAGTTATTCAAGAAAATTATTGTTATATGTGTCTGATGTTGTCGATATATTGCTGGATTTGTTGTAAAAAAAGTTAAAAAGGTTTTAGATTGTGACATTTTATTCACATATGTAAACTTGCAGAAAGTGAAACTAGAATTTTTCAGGAAGAAAAGAGGATGTTTCAAAAAAATATAATGACAAAATTGATTATTAATATTCTTAACAGTTCTATTTTTATTGATAATAGAGATCATATGTTTGACAATGATGTTCAATCTAATCATTTGGTCAATTTAGTAAAAATGATTAGCTTCTATTATTGTAACCTTAGGTTATACCACCAAGCAGATACTTTAAATAAACATTCAAAAAAACTACGAAGTAAATTAACTAAGAGTATTTTATTTTGTGGTCAATAATATATATATTTACATAAACATTTAACTTTTTGTTATTTTTACCGTCCAATAAAATCGAGGGTTTTTCATTAATTTAAAAGTTTTTGGCCTAACGAAATTGTTTAGTAATTGATTTTTATTAGAATTAGTCTTTATTAGAAAATGAATGCTAAAAAATAAAATAATTTTCTATAGAAGGATTATACTTTCTTTCATAAAGTTCTTAAGAGTTCTTTTAAGAACAAGTTCGTTTTAAAAACTTAACTAATACCCCATGCACACTAACAAAACCAAGTTTTAATAACACTCGCTTTTAAAACGTTGTTTAGTTTAAACTTATTTTGAATAAATCTGATTTATTTTTACGCAGCCGAATATAACTTAAATTTCGTAACTCAAGTAAAAGTATTTTTTGATGATACTTCCAGTCACGTCAATTTTTAAGTAATTTTTAAAAACATTAACAAAATGAAAAATTTACAAAATAAAGAATTATTGAAAACTTTCTCATCTAAAGTTAATTTGCTCAAGTATTATAGAAGACGACGCCAGCAAAGTAATTTTCATTTGCAATTATTAAATCAAATTATCTTTAGCTATATCACAAGACCTCGGTTAGTTTGGAAAAAATCAAGATCTCAAAACTTTTATTTTGATAATATGAATAAGTATTGGACAGAATCTGATTGGGTTGCAAATATAAGAATGTCAAAAGAAGCTTTTATATACTTATGTTCAGAATTAGCAATATTTATAAAAACAAAAGACACTAATTTTAGAAAGACTGTTTCAGTTGCAGTAACCTTGTATTTTTTCTCTGGATTTTCTGACATTCGAACAATAAGCAACCTTTTTGGTCTGGGTCGTTCAACAGTATGTCAATTAATTCACTTGGTAACAAATGCAATTGTTGATAACTTGCTAAAAAATATATATATATATAAATAATATATGTATCTACCTCAAGAAGCAGAGGTAAAAGAAATTATGAAACAGTTTGAAGATATGTCAAGTTTTCCTCTTGTTGTGGGTGCAGTTGATGGATGTCATATAAGAATAAAACCACCAAAAAAGAATCCAGAGAATTACATTAATCGCAAAGATTATCATTCAATTATTCTTAAAGGTTTTGTTGACAGCAGATATCTTTTCCGAGACAGGCAAGTCTCACGACTTGGTTGGTTGGTTGGACAGGCAAGTCTCACGACTCTCGCGTGTTTAAAAACTCTCCTTTATACTTAGAATGCCAGCAAAAAAGTTTCCTACCAAGTAATTTCTCAAGAAGTATTGTAGGAAAAGAAATATCTCCTTTAATTTTAGGGGATTCTGCATACTCTTTGGAAGAATGGCTAATGAAACCTTATTCAGATCGCGGGAATCTTTCAAGGGAAGAAAAAAGTTTCAACTTTTCACTGAGTAGATCTTGTGTAGTAGTGGAGAATGCTTTTGGTAGACTTAAAGGAAGATTCCAATGCATTTCCAAACGCATTGACACATCTGTTGAAAATACTGTTAAAATAGTAAGTGCATGCTGCATTCTTCATAATTTTTGTGAAATCAGCAATCAAAGTTTCTCCGAAGATTGGTTGCACGGTATCGATGTTAACATGATTAAAATAAGCATTAGGAGAAATGATTCTGTTCGAATTGAAGCAGAAGAAATTCGGTCAGCTATAAAACAACATATTTCAAGTTGTATAAACCTTTTTGATAATAATTGAAATGCACAATTTTTTATAAAATAAAGATCTCTTTATTCAAAAAAGGTATTACAAGGTAATAGGAATCTAACTAAATTTAAAACCTTTCTCACTATGTTAAAATATCATAATAAAAACAAATACAAACTTAATTTTAAAAACATAAACCTTTGATAGCCTTAGAGGAGCTAGTTAATAAGTTGTACACATTTCAAATATACATTGCTGTCTATTGACAGTAATGTCAATAGACAGCAATGTATATTTGAAATGTGTACAACTTATTTGTAAAAGATGCCCAAATATACCTTTCAGTATACATACATTGCTTCTCGCAAATATATTTAAAAAAAATTTGCAAAAGCAACACCAAAAAAAAAAAAACTGTCTAGTCTTTAATAAACAGGCTATGTGGAATAAAGATAGTTTATCATTTCAAGTAAAAAACAAAAATATAAAAAAATAACTTATTTATAAAATTATTATTATAAAATATAAAATAATATATATATATATATATATATATATATATATATATATATATATATATATATATATATATATATATATATATATATATATATTTTATATATATATATATATATATACATATATATACTTCTACTAGTGATGGTAACAAATGGAAACTAAAATATAATTAAATGTCTCTTTATATTCTCCGAAATTCTCTTGACTGGGTCACAAACAGAACTTATCTCATTTTTAAAATCAATTTCAATAGGTTTAGGTAGCTCAAAAGAAGCATTTTCCAGAGTTGTTGAAAAATTTCCAAAAGAACTCGTTAAATGTGATGGAAAGGTGGTTGGTCTTCCAACAGTCATTTTTTTTTTAAAAAACAAGAAAGAAAAAAAAGAATTCTTCTGAACTTTTATTTGAAAGACTTGATGCAAACATGAAAAGTTTTTTTAAAGCACAAGGTGATTCAGATAGAGTTTTTTCAATATTTCTTGATAGTGAACCTAAAAATAATTCATCTGATAAAAAAAAATAAGAGTTCAGCATTGTTAAAAATAAGAGAAAAAGAAGAGGAGTTTTTTATTGAAGCAGAATTGTTGCAAATGACTATGCAACAGTTAACTAAATTGATTCTGGATGAATTTAACTTTATTTTTAGTCAAAATATAGCTATAATAAAACTTCCTAATCTACGTGTAAGGAATGATAAAGATGTTAAAAGGTTGCTTGATCGAGACGAGTTTTTCATTACAACTTTTTTTACATGGAGATTTAAAACAATTTCTCGGCTTCCAAGCAATAAAAGTTTTTTAATAAGACAACCTCACGATGTTGTTTTATTTAGCTACGCTTTTTCAAACTCATTTATTTGAAACAAGGATTTAAAAAGTAGTGTGAACGGAAAAACGCGTCACTAGTTTAAATAACCACGATTAAAACTGGTTTTAATTTTGGTGTGAATGGGGGGGGGGGGGGGTATAAAATCCTTTTTATTTTGCGTTTTTTTGCCACAAAGTGACGTCATACGCGAAAAATATTTTGGCTTCAACTTTTTCAGAAAACGCCGTGTCTATCAGTTTATATGGTCTAAGGTTTTTACCGCGATTTCATTTAAACAAAATAAAATTAAAACAAAATGGTTGGAGGCTCAATGATCGAGGTTCTTGTAAATCCTCCTGCACGTGGATGTAGCTGCATTAAATTAACTAATTCTGAAATTTCCTCAGAATTAAAAAAATCCGATAAATTAGTTTCTGATGTTGCTGGAGGGTTTACATATGCAAGCAAATCAAAAATAACACAAAACCGACATATTTTATGGTATGCCAAAATGTTTCTCTGAATACTATCAAACAGGGTTTATACTGTCAGGGAAAGTCAGGGGCAAAAGTATCTTTTTCAACTGGGTCAGGAAATGTCAGGGAAAGTCAGGGAGTTCACTTTGTGGTCAGGGAAAACTATTGTTTTTTTCTTAGTAAGTCAGAGAACAAAACATTTCAAAAAATTTTTACATACTAAAATATGAAATTTAATAATTTTAAATATAAATTATTTTATGGACTGTTTAATACTTTTGTTTTTTTATTTTTATAAAATTTAATCTACTATCTAATATTCATTAAGTTTTTTTGTCAATCATTTTTTTTACAAAAGTTTTTTACTAAAGCCACCAAATTATCCATTAAAATATGCAAAGACACTTAAATCAATTAAGTAGTTTAGCAGGTGCAGTTAAAATTTCTTTGTACACAATCTCATTTATTTATTCCATTTATTTATCACGATAGAGGTAAACTTAATGCAGAGGTTTGATGGATACATAAGCATGTTGTTTGTGGATACAGTGATAGCTCTGTTACCATCACTGTTGGTAACAGAGCTATTTAGGTATTTTTTTAGATGCAATCTATTTGTCTGCAAACATAGGCTGAAATATAATGACACTGTTGGCAATAGTGTTATTATATTTCAGCCTATGTTTCCAGACAGCAAGATTGCATCTACAAAAATACCTAAATATAATGAATATAAATAGTTAACTAAGGTATTACACTTTACTTCAGACAACTTTTTAAAGTACAAATCTATGCATCAGTATAGCTGGCTGTTTTGACAAAAGTTTGATTAAAGTTAATCAAGAATCCGAAAATGATTTATTAGTCAGATTTTGGGACAATCTTAGCAAAATTTAAGTACGATTTTGGGATTCTATGTTTCTTGGACATGCCACTGCATTAGACTTACTTAAGAAAACTTCCAAACAGCTACAGAAACTACAAATCTTTTATGAAAGAATCTTTTCAATTTTTTAACAATTTTCTTGCTAGACATAGCCTTTCCCCTGCAGTTTTGTTCAACAAGTTTTGTGAATGTCTTTAAACAATCTAACTTTTTTTATTTTGTCACTAAGTCTTTAAAATATATAGTAATAGTTTCATTTAAAAAATAGTTTCAATTAATTTTTCAAACACACTTATATTTATATTTCAGACTTGTAAATGTCTTTCACAGCATTATTATCATTTTAGATAGTTCAACAATCAACAGGTAGCATCACGACTCAGAGAGATATGGAGAAATATATTATAGATAGTTGATTTTTGGCATAACCAACCAGCTTTTAAAAGACCATCATCAAAAGCAGTTGAAGATAAACTACTTTAGTAAAGTCTCTATTTTTCTGCTGTATTGCAAATGTTTTGTAGCCATATCTTAAAAAAATCAAACTGATGATCCAATTTTGCCTTTTCTGCACAAAGATCTAAAGCATAAATCCCTAATGTTGGTTGTTAAAACTGATGTTCTCCTTAAATGCGACTCTGTTTTTGATTTGTTAGAGCTTGATCTCACTGATAATGATAATTATCTTTGGATAAAAAATATGCTTTTTGGATTTTCAATTGATGAAGAATTATTACGTAAAGATAAATTAAAATTATTACGTAAAGATAAATTAAAATTTGTAAATGTAACAAAAGTCTAATTTTTATGATAGAGAAAATCACTCAAAAACGTTTATTAGATCATTACATGATAAGAAATGCAAGCGTCTATATCCTCTATACAACTGGTCAAATTACTAAGCAAGTTAAAACAACTTTTGACTCATCTAGTATCATTGAAGATTATTAATGCGACTTTAACAGATAAAGTTTTGCAACAATATTTAAATCTGTCGGCAGTGCAATCTCAAGCTTCTGAAAAAGCAAAGTCTTTTGTGAGAGCACTAGACTAGATGAATTTTTACTAGTTGTGAGAGCACTAGACTAGATGAAATTTTTTTTCATAATTCTTCTATCAATATACCAAAGGAGTTAATACATGTTCTAAAATTGGTTTTAGTTAAAACATTGGTTCTAGTTAACATTGGTTCTAGTTACAAGTGTGGTCAAGCAAGTGCAGAGAGAGGATTTAATATTAATATTTTGTATCCAAAATTGATTTGAAAAAAGATCAATGATATCAAAAAATATAATAGTAGACCATATGCAAAAGAACAACCTAATACCTTCAACAATAGAACTAACAAATTTTTAAAGTCTATTAAAGGTGCACGCCAAAGGTATCAGCTAGATCTTAAACAAGATAAATTTTTGTTTTTGTTTGATCTTTATAATATAGCAAAAAGATACTTAATTTTATTTTTTTTAAAACTTTAAGAATACATTTTAAAATAGTTTAAAATAATATGTAAATATTATTTAAATATGTGTGAATAAATAAAAGCCTTTGATTAAAAAACATATGATCAGTCATATACTCTTTTAATATATATAAGTGTCAATGCATGTTTATGTGAATATTTTATTTTCTTTATGCGAATGTCAATGCAACTAAATATTTTTCTGGAAACTATTTATAATTATTACTATATATTGTTAACAAGTTTGGGTAAAAGGTTAGTTTTTTTGACTGATTCAGGGGAAACAGGTGGGCTTTAAAGAAAAAAATCTTTCATTAAGAACCTGTATCAAACCTGATCAAACCAATTGTTAATTATAATATTTTAAAAGTATTTAATATCATAGTGTTATATTCTTTTGTATTAAAAATTATGTTAATATAAATTGTAGAGTAGTCGAAATAAATAAAGAGTACAGTATTCTATATTATAGTAAAAGTAAATGTAGTGGTATTTGTCAGTAGTGAAAGATAATATGAGAAGATGCAAAGTAAGGGTAAAATTATCAGGAATATAATATAGATGAGAAAAAACACAGGTCTAAATATTGAACCTTGTAGTAGAACAGAAGTTACTGAAATAAATTGTTTTGTTTATCAAAAGTAACTTTTATACTGTATTTAGGTAGGAAAGATTCACTAGTTTCAAAAATTTACAATATGATTCACTAGTTTTAAAAACTTACGATAAGAACTTATGAAGAATAGCAACATGCCAGATTTTAAAAACTTACAATATGATTCACTAGTTTTAAAACTTACAATATGATTCACTAGTTCTAAAAACTTTCATGATAAGAACTTATGAAGAATAGCAACAGATTTTATCAAAAGCTTTGATATGTTAAGAGAAATAGTCCTTGCCTCACTGCTTTTATCTAATGGACAATAGAATCTTCTGTTTTTGTCAGTTAACAAGTCAGCATTAGAACAAGATACTTGAATTTCATACTGATAGAGAGTATGTTGTTAGACTCTAGATATTAGAAGTGTGATGGGCATTAAAATCACCTTTAACAACAATATTGATCGAGATGAATGTCTCGGTCAGTTTGATCAGAAGCAATAACAAAAAGACTGCATGTCCTTTGAAGAAAGAGAATGATAAAGAACAAAAAGAAAGGTAATTGAGTGAACATGTGCTAAGCACATAAAATAAAAATCATAGGATTCAAACATGATTTTACAATAGATACGTTAATACGTAAGTTTATGTCCAGGCAAAGCATTTGATTTTTTATAAATTAAAGGATTATAGACATCAAAATGGTCTGGTAAGTTTTGCAATAGGAAAACCCCAGTATTTGTAAAATGTAAATTAAAACAATTTGATGGTAAAGTAGATCTTTTATTATTAAATACTATAATTATGTTTTAAATTATTAGAGAACATGACTCACAAATAGTAAATGGCACCCTAAGCAATAAGCTATGCAATTACCTCAATCATTTATTTTTTTCTACTTGACTTAAAGTTGTAAAGTCAAATTCTGACAATATTTGCGAAGCAAGTAACAACAATTTTTTGTATTTTTGCAGAGATGCTTTTACAAAATTATAAAAAATTTCACCTACAGATCAGGTAGCTATAATTGCAAGTGTCATAAATGCAAGCAAGAAAGAGTTGAATAAGTTTTCACTATCACAAATAACTTCAAGAAAGCAAAAAAAAATTTTAACAAAATGTTCTAAAATGATCTGATGTGATCCCAGCAATGTACATCAAAAGTTCAATAACAATCATGTTGCACAACTCCATAGATAATAATAATAACTAATAATAGTATTAATAATAAAATTTGTAACCAAAATAAATTATCTTATTAAAAATTTTTTTTTTAAAGTTTTATTAAAATTATTTCTGACAATATATTTGTAAGTTTTTTGTGTACTTGTATATTTTCTTGACAACTTATTTATTATTATTTTATTTTTTATATATAGGAGAGTTATAAACGACACTCTTATCTTAGAAGAAATATCTTGGAACTACAATATTTTGTCTAACAGTATTGAAATAAAAGTTCCTTTTGAAATTATCCTTCCGAATGTCGTTTTCTATGAAACTTATGAAAACATCATTGTATATTTTTCAACGACCAATTGTATTCGTGCATTTAGCTTTGAGCATCCAGATGTAAAATACAAACATGTAGGATTTTTTTTTACTTATTGTTGGTATGATTGTTATTTTATTAAAAAATTAGTCACTTATACTCTGTGATTATCTTTGAATATTATAGTTTAATACTTAAATAACACAAATTTTTTGTTTGGTTCATTTTTTTTTTATTAAATCCAATAATTCATATAAATTCATGGTTAACAGACCAATTGTTAACAGACAGATTGTTAACAAATTGTGTTGGCTGTTTCCTTTAAGATATTTCTCATAAAACAGTTTTTTGCATTTTTCAACTACATTATTACTTATCAACAAAAAATTATTTCTTACTATTTGTTATTGTTTTGTTTTTGGATGTGTACTTTATTTTATTCATATAATTTTTTATCATTATTATTAAGGGACCTAGTGGCATCAATGCAACTGTACATTCAATTTTTCATGGAGCATCTGAAAAATGTATGCAAACACAAGTTTATGTCGGAAATTCTTGCAAATTTTTTGATGTAGTTACTTTATCGAATGGAGATAATGTTTATGGAATGATTACTGAAACTGGAACATTATTGGTTGTTAACAACGGTATAAATTTATATATATATATATATATATATATATATATATATATATATATATATATATATATATATATATATATATATATATATATATATATATATATATAATTCTTTATATACTTAGTTCCATTTTTGTTATTTCATTTGATTATTCAAAGTTTAGCAGATGTATAATATTTGCATTTGAACAAAAGTCTGTTAGGTCATCTTTTTCTAAACATTATTTCTCATTGTATGTGAAATTGCAACTCTTTTTTACAAATACTATCATGGTTGCTGTTCAATTTTTTTTTTTTTTTTTTGTTATTCACCTCCTCAAGGCCGAGAAAGCCACTTCAGACAAGGAGGCTACTTAATAGTGGTTATAACCCTCTCTCAACTCTATAACTCCAAAACACGAACCTTGAACCGAGAAAGCCACTACAGACAAGGAGGCTACTTAATAGTGGTTATAACCCTCTCTCAACTCTATAACTCCGAAACACGAACCTTGACAAACAAGGCCGCTGCGCGGAGAAGCAAGTTGAGTGCGGTACTACCAGGGGCGTGGTGGGGATCGAACTCGGAACCTCTCGCTTATGAAGCAAGTGTTTTACCACTACACCACTACCGCATTTGAGCTATCATCTCTTATTCCATCAGCCAAAACTCAATCTCACATGACTTGTCATTCAGAAAAGTTACATCTTTTTACTCTGTCCCTACATGCTCTAAAAACTTTTATTTGTCAAGTTTCTTTCCTCGCACATCAATGCTTTAGAATTCTCTTCTATTTTCATGTAGTTTACAGTTTTTGAAGTCTATTGTAAACTGCTTTCTTGCTCTTTAACAATATTCTTTGTCTCGTAACTCCTAAGTTTAATATTTATTATTAGTGAAAGAAGAAAAAAGATCATAATTGTGGTTTATTCATATAGACAGGGTTAAGTTTGGCAAAGAAAATGTTTTCTGACTGTTTTTAGAATTTTTTTTGCAAGTAATGTTTAAATAAACATTAATAAAAAATATTGTTCAATATTCTTATATTTTTGTTACATTCCTACAGATTCATTGTGCTTTGAATTAAAAGAGGCAAGCATAGTACAACGTCTATGGAGTGGTTTAGTTCCATCCTTTGTGAGGTAATATTTTTACAGTTTTATTTTTTATTAATTTTTTTTTTTAATAATAATTTGTAAATATCTATAGTATTTAAAAAAAAGTTGAACTATACTTATATATTGTGCTCAGTGGCTCATAGGCTTGGGGTAAAAGTGGAGCGAATTCTCTTCATTTAAAAATTTAAAGCAACTGGTTCCTTTTTGAAATTTAGCGATGTAGCACTTTTTTATTTTAAGTTTTTAGTTGTGATGCAATAAGTTGTGAAAGATGTTATTGCTTCCCAATTTTTAGAAAATATAGAGTTATTGAAAAGTTCCATAGAAATGTTGTTATATATTTGTTTTAATTTTTTTTTTGCTGGGCGTTTTCGCACGCTTTTATGATATTATAAATTTTGGAAAACAACCCAATATATCAGATATATATTAGAGTGATAACACCATGTATAATGCAGAATTCCCAATTTTTTTAAAATTTTAAAAAGATCAAAAAATCATTTAAAAAAACAACCTTTAATCCTGTTATTAACAGACTTCAATTTAAAGTGTTACACAAGAAAGGTGGAAATGCTTAGTTCACAAAACGAAGAAAATAATTTAGTTGATCGAAAACTATGACTTTCTTTACATGAGAAAAAGTGTAGTAAGTCGTTCATTCAAAAATAAAATAAAAAAAATTTATTTTTTAATACACTGATTGAGCTTTGTAAGGCGCCATTATGATTTGGGAGTTCGAGACCCCGTTGGAGAGGTAAAAATAGAGACAACGTTTTAAATCTCCCATTAAAACTTGAGAAAACGAAGTATAAACATCTACCAAAAGCATTCAAATAAAATTTATTTAATTATTAAGTATAATCAGAAAACAAAATTTTTATATAAAGATGCTGAAAGTTAATTGTTCCGTAATTGGTTGTGCAAATAATACATATAGGCTGAAAAAATGGAAAAAAGAAATATGCAATGAACACCATCAAAATATAAGCAGAGAGGAATGCTCATTATGTGAAAAGCCATTTTTATTATATAAATTTCCATCAGTAAATCAGAAAAATAAAGAAAGGCAATTATGGGTGAAAGCGTTAAGAAGAGAATTGATAAATAAAACATTATGGCAGCCAACAGGTAGTGATAGGGTATGCTCCATGCACTTTGTTGATGGAATTCCTTCAACTGCAAACCCTACGCCTACTTTATGTCTTGGATATGAAATACAAGCTAATAAATCTAGAAGAAAATTGTTAAAACACCCTATATCATTAAAAAAGCAAAAACTTGATAAATGACACTTACTTTATGACAGGACAATCACCTCATTCTAATGATGTTTTAACAGATTTATATGAAGAAAATAGTTTACCATTAGCAAATGTATCATTTTTCTTGCCAGTATCTGATCATTCGTATTGCTCTATACAATCAAGTAAAGTTTGCAAAGTATGTGTTGACAAGAGCAATTTAATCGAATCACTCATCAGTAAAGTGAACACGTTAACATTAACTTGCCAAAAATTAAAGCGTCAAAAGTTATTTGATAGTGTTAAAAGTTCAGTATTTACATGGAAAAAAATTAAAACTGATGCTAAAATGAACTTTTACACTGGTTTATCAACAATCAAATTATTTGAGAATTTGTTTCTACTAATTAAACCATATTTATCAAATTTAGTTTATTGTCTGGTCCAAAAAAGGTTACCAATTCTAAAAACCAAAAAAAATAAGCTTCAATGATAAAATTTAAAAAATTATCACAAAGAGATGAGTTTTTACTTGTTTTAATGCGATTAAGATTAGGTCTTCTAAATCAAGACTTAACTGATCGTTTTGGCATATCCCCAGCATTGTGTTCTCGTACATTCACAACTTGGATTAAAATGTTAAGTCAAGTTTTAGGACAAGCATTAGTTGTATGGCTTCCATGTGAATCTATTCGTAACAATCTGCCACCTGTTTTTGTGAAAGCTGGTTATCAAAAATGTAGAGTAATTCTTGATTGTGCAGAAGTGTTTATAGAATGTTCAAAGTCCCTTGCTAAGCAATTAAGCACCTGGTCAGAATATAAGCATCATAATACATTTAAATTTTTAAAGGTGTTAGTCCAACTGAATATATTTCATTTCTTTCTTAGTGTTATGGTGGAAGAGCAAGTGATATGTTTATTACAAGAGATAGTGGTATATATAATCTACTAGAGAGAGATAATGAAGTTATGACAATCAAGGTTTTCAAATTCAGGAAGATTTAATTTTAAATTTCTGTACTTTAGTTGTTCCACCTGGTGCCCGCTTGAAAAGTTAATTAACCACCAAAGAAGTTCAAAAAACTAAACATGTTGCAAATCTAAGAATACATGTAGAGCGAGCTATTAACCAAATTAAAACATACGGAATTCTAAATGGAAGTATGTCAATTACATGCTGCAACATGCAGATGACATTTTACTAACATGTGGTGCACTTTGTAATTTAAAACCAAAACAGACTGATAGCAGACCCTAAACCAAAAATAAGTACTCATTAAATAAATTTCTTGTTGAGTCTTTTTTTTTTTTTTTTTTTTGCAAAAAGGTTTTTTGTTTTTGTTTTATTATTACTTGTACATGTATTATACTTATTAATGTACTTTTGGGTGTTGTTATTCTCTCTTATGGGGAAGCATTCCAATTTCACCCTTCCCTTCTCTGCAGTTTTAGGAGCAGCCGTGGTGCAGTAATCAGTTCGCTTACTTTAGAGGTTAGAAATAAACTCTTTGTTTCTGTTAATTTAAAAAAGTTCAGGGGGCTAATAACAAGGTTCTTTGACTAAATTTTGAGTTTCATTTCACGAATATTATTGTTATTGTATGACATCAGGGTAAAAATAATCTGAAAAATATCAATGCCTTCACTTACAAAATTTGTTATTTTTTTTAAAATTTGTTATTTCTTTTCAAAAATTGTTAATTTTTGAAACAAAATGTAAAATCTCAAAAAGTAAAAATACGAACCTACAATAGCAGTATTTTACTTATTACCTTTTGACCATATAAATTTTATGAAAGTATAAAAAAGTCGAGTCCCCACAGATTAAAACTTCTTGAGGCCTGGGGCTATATTTGTTTTTGGAGGTCTTTTTTATGGGCCAGAGCCTAACAATGACTAGAAAAAAAAAAGGTCCTCTAAAATTTTTTGGGGCCTCTAAATTTGCGGGGCCCGGGGCTATAGCCCCCCCTCTTGATCTGGCACTGCACAGGAGGGGTAAGAATAGAAACATCACATTGCCTTGATAAAAATAAACTACAAAATCAAAGCAAAATCTTCTTAATAAAATTCAATAAATTATAAAAAGACCATAAGAACTTAAATTATATGTAAAGACGGTAAAAGTTAACTTGTATATATTATGATTGTATAAATAGTACATATAGGTTAAACAAATGGGGGAAAAAAGTTTGTAAAGATTTATATTTAAATTGTATCCCCCAACATTACAACATAAATTTATCTCAAACAATATAATGTCGCAGTATTATATATTTGATCCTAACATTACAAAATCAGTTTCATTAAGAAATATAATAGTATATTATCTACAATCATAATAGAATTAGAGGAAGATAATAATTAGTGGCATTAGAGCAAAAAACTAAGTTTTTAAAAGTATGCTAAAAACCTAAATATAAAAGAATTTTTGAAAAGATTTAAATTAGGTGCTAAAAATAGATTTTAAAATAATCTTCATAATAATTAATAAATTTTTCCTTTAACAAACTCCACAAAGATACATCAAAATCAATTTTATCTACAACTATGCCATATGGGGTCCATACAACAAAGTATGGAACACTACACTTTGTAACAGCCATTTGCATCATACGTTGGGTGTAATAAGTATGTTTAGTTTTAAGTTTTTATCAACACCCTCTTTTATTATCAAAACCCTATTTTATTAAATATGGTAAATTTAATTCTGTTGGTGCAGTAAAATTAATCTTGTAAGGACATTTCACCTCAATACATACATTAGGACAGCAATCACATGAAATTATTCGGTCTGGACTTGCTCCAATGTAAGGATGTTCATAATCAAGGTATAGTTCACATTCATTTAAATCAAGATTTTTATGATGTCCTTTCATTTTTACATAAAACGCATTCACAGCTTCAACTTCCATCCTACGCCCATATTTTAAGGCTGGAATATTAGGGTTAGTAAATGTCAGCCCTGATATTTTTTGGTTAAGTGACCAAAAGTTATGGTAGCCAACAACAACTTTTTTAATTTTATCCATACTCGTTGCTACCTTGTGAGCTTTAGAGGCAGTTATAACACTTTTTCGATAGTGATACCAATTTTCATTTTTATTATGCCCTCATGTTACTAGTTCTATTTGTTTTATATTTTGGGCTGACATGTTTACTTCTAAACGTGTAAAAAATTCAACACAACATGAAGAGGTAGAAATTAAACTGTCAATGCTTGGCAAATCAACTGGTGGCATATCAACTGTTGTCAAAACTTCACGAATAAAGTCTATTTTTGGTTTTGGAACAGCAGTAAACAAAATGCTTGTTGGAACGATTTTCTCAAGAGCAGAAACTACATCATTGATATTTAATAATTGTACTGTATTATTCGATAGAGGATTATATTTTTCTTTTTGTGTATCTACTAACTTTCTTTTTTTTTACCTCCTTCGCCAAAATCTTCACGACTAAAGTCAAGGTCTTTAATTTTAGAAGGCGCTACTTCTTTTCTAGATGGCAGCCATTCATTTGACGTGCTTGTACATGCAGGGTTAGTTAATCCATTTCTTACAGCAACTTCTACTCTATATATTGCTGCGGCAACATGGTTACAAGTTTGACCCATGCCAGCCATGCATGTACTATGACAGGCTTTAATTCATTATTTGTGTTTTTTATTTTAGACTTAATTTACAATAAAAAATTTTAAACCAACAAATGCAGTTTATATTTAGTTAGGAAATTAACAAAGACTATAGTAGTTATTCAAAAAATGACTTTGGTAGAGGTAAATATC